ATATTTTAATGATTAAACAACACAAAATTCGGGAAAAATAGTAAATGATTCTCAAAAAATCTGTAAAATTAACCATAGTTTTATAACATGATGTAGAGCTCAGTGGATAAGTTTCAGATATTTGTGACTATGGGAAGTATTTTTTTTATATATTTCATTATTAATTAATCAATAAAATCATAAATAATAGTAAACAGTAATATAAATGCATGAAACTTCATAAATTATGTTTAATCAGTATATAGGTCATCCCATAATTTTCTCAGAATTTATTGAATGCAAAAAGTATTTTATGTGAATTATTGCCCTACTTTATTGCAATAATTATAGTAATTCAATAAAAATAAGTTATTTTCTGAAAATTTCCAGAACTTCTTATTTTATTGATGGTATTCTGAGAAAAATCAGGTTTATGCATAAAATGAGTTTTAGATATTTTGGTGGATTTAATTTGTTTCTTGTATGAATTGGAAACTTTTAACAACATACCTTGATGAATGCTTCAAGAGGGATGAAGATTTGAGTATAATAGATTGTTCTTGGATGGAATATGAGTATTTCTTTGAGGAAATTTCGAGATTGAGAGTGAGAGAAAGATTAGAGAAGGTTTAAGTGGTGAAGAGAATAATGTGTTGGGAGAAAAAGGAAAGGAAAGTGGATGGGAGGTGTGAGTGGGAGACCATGGGAATAATCTTTTTGCTTTTGGTGGTCTTCATAATTTCCCACTAACACAAGCATCTTTTACATAATTAATATAAGAGTTTTATAAAATTTAATGTAAAGTTTATAAAAATAGAGTTTTATAAAATTTAATGTAAAGTTTATAAAAATGGAGTTTTATAAAAGATGAGTTATTATTTGATTATAACAATCTACTTTGATTTGAAGTTTAATTATAGCATTCAAGTTTGATTCTTTTAAATTTAATTAGAGCATTATACTTTGATTTGATTTTAATATGGTATCATAATTTAATTTGATTATAGTTATAACGTTGTACTATACAATGTTGCTATTAACGTCAATTTATATCGTAGTGTATGAGTTTTGATCCTATTAGCGTCAAGTAATCTTGAGTAGGGTTTGAATGAGATTGAGAGAGGCTTCGTTTGTGATCTTTTTGAGTGTCCGGCTTCGCAACGTAAGGTCCATAGACCCCGTTAAGCCATGATTTAGTGTCCTACACAATCCCGATGATTGTGCAATAGTGTTTTATCGCTTTGGTTCATTGTTTAGCACTGTTAAGGCTAAGGAAAATCAAACACATGAACTTTCCAAATGATGTTTTCTCATTAAAATAGCGAATTATACAGTGATTACATAACGTAAACCCTATCATACAAGGGTTAATGGAGTTGACCGGTTTGACTAGTTGACTTTGTTTGACTTTGACTTGACCGAAATTTGATGGTTGTCACAAAAAATATCTTTTAAAAGCTAATGTGGACTTTTAAAAAATGTTGCAATGCTTTAAATAGAAGTTGTCCCTCCTTTTCTCACTAACCTTTTTCCTCTATAACGTCCTCTCTCTCTCTCTCTCTCTCTCTCTCTCTCTCTCTCTATTACCGGTGGAGAAAACACCCACCGGAGATGTCATTTTGTGGCCAAAGAGGTGGCATTAACCCCTTATTCGGTTGATGAGCAAACCCACGAGCACCCCCTGAAGATTAGTGCCCCTCCTGCCCCATTTCCTTTATATTTTTGTCGGATTAGAAAGAATAAATTACACGAATGGTCCCTATGGTTTGGGGTAATTTGTACGCTTGGTCCCTAACTTATTTTTTAATGCGGAAAGTCCCTACTGTTTGTTTTGTTACGCACTTGCTCCCCACTGTTTGTTTTTTTACACGCTTGGTCACAATTTGTTGTCGGAGCATAAGCGAGCAGTTGAGAAGCTGCTTGAGCAGCCCCCTCGTTGCACCCACTGAGACCGATAACATCTACACTGCTTCCGTTCTTCTCTCCTTCTTTGGTTCAATCAAGCACCAGAGATACTTCCCATTTTTCTGCTTTTGTTTGTTCCTCTCCCAATCAGACAATGACCAAAAAAATTTCCCCTCATTTGTGGTTGTAGACCAAATCAACCTCCCATTTGTAGCTGTTCAAATTAGCCCCTCCATTTGTAATACTTGACCAAAACAACCCTTCATTTGTAAGGTTATATCAAAACAACCTACTTTTTTATTTAAATTATTACAAAAACTACCCCTCTCGGGTAAATTGATACAAAACAATCTCTGTGGTTTGTTTTAGCTCAAAGAAGTGTTGATTTAGAGGTTCTCACGATACACTTCAAATAAACGAACCTAGATCGAGATCACGTATCGAATCTGAGTTTAGAGGCCCCTCCCTTATGATTTTATGGTTTTTAGGGGAGAATATATGCTCATTTTTTGATGTACTGATGATTTACAAGTTTTTATACCCAAATATGCATCATACTTTGTTATTAGTTAAAGTTGTGAAATAGCAATCTAAAATGTGATAAATCTCCAATAAATCTATTAAGTTAAAGTAAATTACTAAAATATGATATGTTTATACCTTGTGTGAAATATGAATATAAATATTAAGAAAAATCACAAGATTATAAGTAGATTGCTATAATAATACAAATATATTTGGTGATTTATAAAGATTATGGTATTTTTCATATATAAGTTTGAAATGTTGAAAGTATGAAAAAAAGATATCATATATAATCAAAAATTATATTTAACATATTTAGATATAAAAGAAAGTATATTACCTTAAACGGTTGAAAAACAAAGTTTGAGAAAATATAAAATGATTAGTTTAAAATATCAAAAATCGACTATTATTATTATATTCTTTGATATTATGTAAAAAGGAGCTTAAAATGATTTTTTAATATATATTTCTTTAATTATTATAAAAATATAAATCATTTTTACTAAATTATGAAATTAATCATACATGATAGCATGATTGATTTCCGAATTTTAAGAATTGTTGTCTAAGATATTATGTATTGTATCAATTATGTAACTTATTGATTATTATGAAAATTGTTGGTTTCACGTTGGTTGAAACCTGAAAAATGTTATAGAAGCAGTCGTTATGCTGTCTAAATTTCATCATGACAAATAATAAAATTTGAAAATATGTTAAGTCTTATAATGTTAAGTCTTATGAATCTCAAATACTATAAGACTTAAATCAATAATTAATCCTAAACATCAAAGAATTATAGGTGTTTAATGAACTTATAATGGAAAGTTTAGGATTAAGATTCCTAGACGCGTTATTAGGATCCAACACACACGGGACTTTCTATATGAGTTATATTCGTTTCTAAAAGCCATAGGAGATAGGATCATTTCCTAAGTTATATGGGTTATGTTGTTGTGTATATTGAGACCATTTGTCTTAGTAAAAGTCATTTGTGTTATAACCGTTAATCTGTATGGAACGTGGAACGTCAGGTATAGATCGACGATACTGATTTATACAGGTATACATCCCGCCAATGGCTGTTAGCTACAACCATCGTCTGATGAGTCGAAAACAGATGTTGATGTTTCTATATTATTTACTCCACGACGTTGATAAAGTGTTGATGTGGAACTTTTAACATGCCCCCTTTTAGTGCTGGTGCAGAGGCTGCGAGTTGCAGTTAATTCGGTTATGAGTTCATTATGGATCTCAGATTCGTTTCTTTATCTTATAGAAATGAAATAAGATTTATACGTTGTTTTAGTTCACTTATACTAGTTAAAAGAGGTTGTATGTGGTGAGATAATTTGTGACTCAAAACGATAAGTGTCATTACGAAAAATTAAGTCATATAACACTGTTTATGACTCAAAACGATAAATGTCATTACCAAAAATTAAGTCATATAATACTTAATTAACATTATAACATGATTGATCAATGTTTAATAGCTTACAGTTAATAAGTTATTTATATAAAGCCTACATTTTGAATGAAAACACAATGTTTATGTGGGAGGAGTTTGCCCACATTGAATAGGTGTCTGTTCCCAAAATAGATAAGATAACACTTAATAATTACTATGTCATGACCTTACAAGTTTTATAAACTTAATATGTACGAGTTTTACATATAAACTATACAATTACTTGTAAGAAACTTTAAGAGTAAAATTGATTATTTGATATTTTCACAAAAAATAACATGTTTTATTTTTATATAATTTGGTATTCAAAAATCCTTATTTTACAAACCAAAACACGTTTTTATTTTGTTGAGTGATTTAACATCTATATTGGAAGATGAATCATTCCCGATTACCCCCGGCCACTCCAATTTCAAATATTTGTTAAATCCTTTTTGTGCTAGATGGTGCTTTCTTTGCTACAAAGTGGTCCTATCTAAAGCCATATAATATTAGTCAAAAAGACATTCACCAAAAACTTTTTTCCATTAACAAATACATGCAATCATATCCATATATATATATAATAGGGTTTTTACTTTATCCCTTCACATGATACTGGACAAGTTTTTAAAATTATTTTTTTGAAGAGGAAAAGAACAATTTTATCTTTTGTAAAAACCCAGATCAAGAGGAAATCCCTTTTACATCGTGTTTTTTTGTTTATTTATTTGTTTATTATTATTATTATTATTTATTTTTTTTTGCATAAAATTAAATCTTGTGTGCTTTAATAAGATCAGTACGTCTATACAAACACAGCAAATCCTTGGTGTCTTGTTTTGTAGTATCTACATTGTTTTCGAAAAATTTGCTAAATATCGAACAATTATCATCGTATTAGATATTTTGTTGGGTTAGTTTAGTACTAGACACTACCCACGAATGTAGAAAAATATTCTTTTTAGGAGACTACGTACGTACTAAGGAGCAACACACACTTATTAATACCACAGTGAGTCCATTCCCTCGCACGAATACCCCAACAAATGCTACCAGTTAGCATCTTTTTAACAACTAAGACCACCCTGATATTCTAATAGTCAACTACTCACCCTTACACTCATAGATCAGATAGATGAACCCCATGGAGGTGGTGATGATGGTAGTAACGGTGGTGTTTTGTTACTGTTGTGCAGTAGCAGACCAAAAACACAATCAAAAAACGTATATCGTTCACATGGACAAGTCAGTCAAGCCATTAGTGTTTTCCGACCACCTGCAGTGGTATGCAAATTGTATGAGATCCGTTTCCGAGTCCACGAATATGTTGTATGCGTATGATTATGTTATGCATGGGTTCTCGACCAGGCTAAGTGTTGATGAAGCGAAGCAACTTGAACAGCAGCATGGGATTTTGTCGGTTCAAGAAGAGGTGATATACAAGCTTCATACTACTCGGTCACCGGAGTTTCTTGGACTACAAAGCCGCGGCATGATCGTTTCTGGGTCCAAATCAGGTGGTGATGTGATTGTCGGAGTGGTGGATACTGGTGTGTGGCCGGGAAGTAAGAGCCTAGACGATACAGGGTTTGGCCCAATTCCCGTATCCTGGAAAGGTGAATGTGAGACTGGTACAGGTTTCAATGTATCAAGCTGTAATAAGAAACTAATAGGCGCCAGGTACTTCTCGATAGCATATGACGCAGCTTATGGACCAATTGATGAAAAATTGGAATCTATGTCTCCTGTAGATGATGATGGACATGGAACACACACAGCAACTACAGCTGCTGGTTCCATGGTCACGGGAGCTAGTTTCTTTGGGTTTGCAAAAGGAACAGCACGTGGGATGGCCCCTCATGCAAGGCTGGCAGTTTATAAAGCATGTTGGGCTGCGGGATGCCATGGAAGCGACATATTAGCTGCCATGGAAAAAGCAATCACCGATGGTGTCCATGTGTTATCAGTGTCGATAGGAGGCACGCTTTCTGATTACACCAATGATTTCGTTGCTTTTGGAGCATTCAAGGTAGTATCACATGGGATATTTGTAGCAAGCTCTGCGGATAATAATGGACCGGAGCCTTCAAACATAGCGAATGTCGCTCCGTGGATAGCTACAGTAGGAGCAGGAACACTTGATCGTGATTTTCCGGCCTATGTTACCCTCGGAAATGGAAAGAAATTTAGAGGAGTGTCACTTTACTCTGGAAAACCTTTATCACGTACATTGATTCCATTGGTTTTTGGTGACCTGTGTACGCCGGATTCGTTGCCACCGGAAAAAGTTGCCGGCAAGATTGTGATGTGTGAACGTGGGGAATTTTCAAGGTTGGAGAAGGGCAAGGTGGTGAAGAAAGCTGGAGGTGCTGGAATGATTCTAGCTAACCCTGATACATTTGGGGAAGAACTCATGGCTGACCCACATGTCCTACCAACCGCCGCCGTAGGTGAGAGAACTGGCGATGCAATAAAAAGGTATATATCCTTGGATAATAATCCAACGGCTACGATTGCATCTGGAGGGACCCAGTTAGGAATCCAACCATCACCAGTTGTCGCATCATTTAGCTCTCGAGGTCCCAATCCCATCACAGCAGCGATACTCAAACCTGATTTAATAGCGCCAGGTGTTAACATTCTAGCAGGTTGGACCGGAAAAGTCAGTCCAACCGGGTTAGCCGAAGACCCTCAGCGAGTGGAATTTAACTTCGACACTGGAACCTCGATGTCGTGCCCACACGTAAGTGGGTTAGCCGCCCTGATAAAGGCTGCCCACCCTGAATGGAGTCCAGCGGCTATTAGATCAGCGCTTATGACCACCGCATATAGCTCGTATAAAAATGGTGAAGGCTTGAGAGATGCTGCAACCGGAAGACCATCAACCCCGTTTGACCATGGTTCAGGGCATGTTGACCCGGTTAGAGCCCTTGACCCTGGTCTGGTCTATGATGCTTCTGCTAACGACTATTTGAGCTTTCTTTGTGCTTTGAATTATAGCTCAGCTTCAATTAAGATGTTTGGAGGTGGAAACTTTAAATGTGGAAAGAAAAACAGGGTAGAAGATCTTAACTACCCGTCTTTTGCAGTGCCTTTGCTTACGGATTCCATCAAAGATAATGGAAGCAGTGGGCCAACCGTTGTTAAGTATAGAAGGAGTCTGACAAATGTGGGCAATCCAGCAACTTACAAGGTTTCAATATCATCAAAGGTGCCGGCTGTGAATATCACGGTTGAGCCTGATAAGCTAACGTTCGTCAAGCAAGGTGAGAAGAAGGCATATACTGTCACATTTACTGCTACTTCCATGCAATCGGGGACTAAAAGCTTTGCTTGTCTAGCATGGTATGGAGGAAAATATGTTGTAAATAGCCCAATAGCTTTTAGCTGGATGTGATTACCGAAAAAATATTGTAATATTCATCGTGGCCAAGCAATGTATTTTCCCTGGCTCTATGGTTACATAGATTTTTTATTTTTCTTTATAGAATATTGGCCAAATGCAAAAAGTAGTATACTTTGGTTTACTTTTCCAAAATCCATAAAATAAATCATAAAAGCCATTTTGCATTATCTTTTTCCAAACCAAGTCAATTAGCCGATTAATTACTTTCATCTGTGCAACGTGTATTTTTGAGTGACTTGGCGAGAAAAAAAGGGATATGGCCTTCCATACTATTATTATTCTTAGACAAAATTACATAAATGGTCTTATGTTCAAAAAATAAATAAATACATTGCAAGTTTTTTTAGGTTAGTTTTTAACACGGATGATCCTTTTTAGACTGTACACATAGTCGGACCTTATGACTAACATTGTTAATTAAAAATGGTTAAATACCTATAAAATAACTAATATACCCTTAATCCTATTTCTTTATCTTGTATTATTATTTTTTACCCAAAACCTCACCCATACCGTCTTTTTTCCGATTATTTTTCCACTCACCATGGAAAAATTCTTAATCTTCAAACTGTTGAGTCTTGAAATAGTCTTTCACGAACATTGTATAGATGATAAGCCTCGCTTATAGTTCCTCTTTCACGTATTTTATCAAACAACTACATTGTTTCATGTTCTAACCTATCATTATACATACTTTATAGCAACACTACAATCGTTTGGTGTAACATCCCAAAAATCAAAGATAAAAAATTTCATTTTTATTATATTCAAACACTAGAGTAATTCTTTCAAAACATACTCAAACATTTCAATACAAATCATTTATCAGAGTTCATTCCCAAAGATCACATATTGCGAAAAACACGGGTGTATGCGCTGCGATCAAGTCGGGTCATTTCCCTTCGAACCGGAAATACCTGAAACTGAAAATCACAAACTGTAAGCACGAAGCTTAGTGAGTTCCCCAAATACCACATTCATGGGTTTTGGGCATTACATCATTCATATGGTCTACATGCAACCCTAATTGCTTTGATCTAGGTTTTCTACTATGAACACAACAACATTGAATATCAAAGCAATGATCCTAAGAACTAGCATACAACAATCAAATTGACATATAAACTAGGGTTTAGATCTTACCTTTCTTGTTATGTAGTAATAACAAGTTCTCCTTGAATATCTTTGACCTTTGAAAGCTTAGTGCCTCAAATGTTGCACCTCTAATGGAGTCACAAACACCACTAGCAACAATATGACTTAGGAGAGGGAGGAGGAGGCACAAAATTCGTCCAGGGTTCTCTTAGAAGTGTTAGGTACGAATTTGATGACCTGAAGGGTTCCTTTTATAGTTAGGCTTCTAGGGTTATCAACTAGGAAACCCTAATCCAGTTGCTTAGTCCTTAAGCAGTCCAGTGGATCCTTCCAGAAGGCCCTTGGACGATTTCTATATGGACTCTCATATAGAATTTATCCATTGCATCCTTATGGATCCTAAGCCCAACTTTGTAACTATCTTATAATTACAGTATCAGTCCCCTTTATTTAATTAATCTCTTTTGACTACAAAATTAATTCTAAATTAATTCTTGATCAATATTAATTAAACAATATGATTTCTCTTTTAATATATTATTCACATAATATATTAATAAATCATAATTAATCCTCTTTCTCATTAATTCATCCTATCAGTTGTTATGGTGAAGACAACCCAAAAGGACCATGCTCATAATCGGGTCAAGTACATATCAAAATAGTTATGGGCTTAGACACCTAATCCAACAGTCTCCCACTTGGATAAGTCTAATAACTATTTGCAAGTACGACTTTAGAACCTGATTAGTAATCTTAGCTTTCAAAAGCCGCTGTCAACTCTGATCTTATCAGAAGCGCATCCTTTAGATAAGGGATCATATATTCCTCCATTCTAGATATCGTATGAACTGAGACATGGATTTTAATCATACTCTCTGTTCATGTGTTGTTTCCCGATTTTCGATTTATGACGACTGACTAATTGAACAAATCAAATCAGTCATGGCTTGGCCAAGCGCTTTAGGGTGTCATCACTAAATCATCGAGGGGCCCACATATATCACTTTTATCCCACTTTGGGTAAAAGGAATGGATAAACTTCGACTCAAATGCTCGCTTGTATCTACTCATCAAATCACACACAACAATATGTTTTATAACACCAAGTTACTGGTGCGTTTACATATTATCAATGTGCAACCGACTTCTAAATTACAACTCACATGTCTCGGTTTCAAGAATATAAGATATTATCGTCTCACTAATCACTCGTGATAAAATCCATGAAGTGATTCAAGTGAGCGTGGGTTTAATCAAATACTCAAATCTTATTTCAGGAGTACTCATGAACATTGCAACAGACTTTTTCATTGTCTAAACGCTTTAGACAATCTACAGTCGGATTCATGACAGTATAGCTTCAATACCTACTTCCAAAGTATTTATCGACTGTGGATGGTTTGAATAATCTTATTATTTGGGAAGTCAAAACATGCAAAGTGAAACACAAGAATAATACTAATCCTATATGGCCCCAAACCTTTGAGTATAAATAAAACACATTTATTTAATCACCATATTGATTACTCATTATTCATTGTATAATGTTTGAATAATCAACTTATTACTTGAATTATAACAACAGTTGTCCCATGCTCCAAGCATGCACACTATGTTTACCTATGGTCCTTACTTTGTGAAATAGATCAATTGAACACATTTCAAATGATACTCATTTCATAATTCCTAATCCTTGTCATAAGTGTAAGGATACCAAATTCTTGCCACTATTAGAATATGTTAGATTCTAACATTTTATGCAATGATCCCTTCGTAATGTCACAGTACCAAAGCCACCAAGACTTTTCCAATGATATTACAAAGTGCTCTATTGGAGATTGTTACAAGGCAATTCCATAGATGTGAAGTCTCACATTCAAAGTACATTCTTTTGAACATCCTTCTTGCACAAAAGTTTCTAATCTAGACATAGATTCTTGATATCCAACTCCCAATATGGAAACATTTCCATATTTTCCATACAACAACTCATTATTAATAGAATCATATCTAATCATAATAATGTCATTATGGTCCATTCGTTACTATACTTCCAACTTCCCACAAGTGACCAATCCTTGGCGAACCTTAGATTGTCCTTGACGGTTGTTTAATTATTTTAGTCATATCCGGTTCTGGTCCTTTTCCCTCTTAATGCCCTAGGCATTTGGAAAATTTAGAACGGTCGAATATTACAACATATGCAATCGATCCTATACCAGAAGCGTATGGGACACGATTCATGAAAAACGTGATACTTTACCAGTTTCTTGCTATAATATTGCCATATATAAAGTTCCCTTATGTTGAATCTTTTCAACATAACATTTATATATGTCATTTGACTAAATTTGATTAAAATTTCTCGATCCAAGCTTTTAGATTTTGAAATGAAGTATAATATTCTCTCCCTTAATTATAGCAAAACAACTTTTCAACCCCTGCAACTTTGCAAAGTGAAAGTTTTGTTTTCTATAATTAATATTGCTAACTTGCAACACTTAAAATAATAATCATCTCCCACTAACATGATAATTATATCCATACCAGCATAACATTTATGCTCCCATTAGCTTTGACACGTATTCAGAGAGCAGTTGGACTTCTAGAAATCAATACTTATTGACTTCCAAAGTTCATATTTCTAATACAATATGCTTCAATAAGCCTTTATTTAAGCTTCTCAAACTCATACACTTTTCCTTAGATAGCTTATATGTATGTCTAAACTAATTCAAAACTTATAGCAATAAGTCCTAAATGTTTAGACTAATTGCTAAATCTCACAATTCGAACTATGAAGACGGATGTCGTAATCATAATCGAATTTGAGAATGCAATTTACACAATCGCTATCTCCTTAAAATTTTCCTAGTGAAAGCGTTTCCTCACAATCATTTTCATGAAGCGGAGAGAAACCTTACCACTTAGATTTTATGGTGTATGTGTTCCTATCCATGTGAATTTGTCATAATCATAAGACAATGTTTGTGACAAATCCAAACTCATATGGACTGAACTCGTTCAATCTTAATTCTTGCCATCTTGCAGCACAAGGTCCTACCATGTCTTCCAAGTAGTTGAGCAACTCACCCACACAGATCAATGAACTTTCATTGATTAAGGTGCTTTGCCTTTATGCATTCAAATGAAAACTCATAGAAATCACATGCATAGCTGACTTAACTGGAATGGCACAAAAATAAGAATATGTCAAAGCGATAGGTTTACACTTGATTAGTTCTTGAAATCCTTTTCAAGATCTTTAAGACTCCCACTAATCTCTTGACATATAAGATTCTCTTGTCAAAGAACATTCCCTGACAAACAAATATCCAAGAGTTAGTGCGGATTCTTATCAAGACAAACACACAACACACAATTGGTCTTAGTTGGTCTTTGTCTTATCCAAGACATCACAACTTACCAACTTTTTTTTAAATGTGCAAGAGTGAGAAACATTTCTACTCTACATTTTGTGATGTGTTACTTACTTAAGACATGTCACTCAATACACAATCTTGGAGTATAACTCTAAGACTTGACCTTTTGGAACGAAGTATGATTCACTTTTTGATTTAACCATTTCAACAATTTCTGATTCCTCTTCTTAGCCATACTAGTGCACTAAGGTGTCCTTAGAGGATCAATTGTGATACGGTTTCATAATCACTAAGTTAATCATAAAACACGATACTTAAGTACTCTCCCGTCTTTTCAGATTGGAGAAACTTTTATCTTTCTGCCTAATTGATTCTTCTTATTCGTTCTGCTATTCATTGAAACTTTTCCAATGATTCAGAATCATACTTAATCTTTTAAGCATAACCACATTTACTAAACTTTTAGCAAATCATGACAAATATTTTTATCGTTCTTTGTGGTGGACTTGT